GGGGGGGGTGGAACGCCCATAGTAGCTTTGAAAAGGGAAACTGAATAATCTTAAAATGATCTTTCTAACATAATATGCTTTCAACAAAAATTTTTTCTTCTGCTATTTTGACAGAAATACTTAGTAAAATAGAAAACTCTTAATAATATGCAAATGCTACTGAATATGGACTACATAAATCTTTGATTAAATTACAGGCACAGCTAAATAAGCCCCAGACACAGATTTCTGATTATTTTATTGAGCTCAATTAAACACAGGTCCAAACAGTGAGAACTGGGTTCAGCATATCAGAAAACTGCTTTTGTGAAGAAAGGGCATCTAGTACATTGAAAAAGCATGAGAAAATGTTTTGTTTTCCATAACTATAACCATTTTTCCCTTTGGTCCATTAATAATTCAGTTCAATAACATTTACGGAGTGCCTATGTGTTAGGCATTGAGAATATAAAGATGAATAAAACAAAGTTCCCTTGTCTTCAAAGAGTTGGGGGGGGTTGTCAGTGTATAGGGAAGCAAAAATTTAATTGCAGTACCATAAGATAAGTGATAAGAATGGGACATTAAAGAAACTACATTTTATTTGTATTTCTAATTTGGCACAGAGGGTGTAAGTCTGGGCGACAAAGGCAAGCAGACCAGCTACACTCTCCTCAGACTCCCTCTTTGTGATCTAGGTTTTGGTAACATAGTGGAAAGGTAAAAAAGCTCTGTGCTAAATCCAATTTTGCACTTACCATCTGTGTGACCATGGAGCAAGATGGGTGTTTATTCCAAGGACTGTGGATAAAGTGGGTATAGTACCTATTCACAACATCTGGCCCAAAGTAAGTGCTGAATGAAATGTAGTTGTTAAGATGAAGATTCCAGAATTATCCAAGTAAAATAAAGGATTTGAAAGCAATTTCAAAAGAAATGATAGCCAAGAAAATGTATTAAAGATTATGAAGCTCCTCTATTTCTCCTACTAGCAATAGTGTTTATATGCTAAATTGTGTCCCTGACTTCAGGGCCTCACTAATCTTCACATTAAAATCCAAGAGCTGGGGTGCCTGGGTGGCTCAGTCAGTTAAGCGGCCAACTTCAGCTCAGGTCATGATCTTGCAGTCTGTGGGTTCGAGCCCCACATCAGGCTCTGTGCTGACAGCTCAGAGCCTGGGGCTGTTTCAGATTCTGTGTCACTCTCTCTCTCTCTGCTCCTCCCCCACTTGCTCTCTGTCTCTCAAAAATGAATAAACGTTTAAAAAATAAAATAAAGTAAAATCCAAGAGCTAAGGTACTAAGTTGATGCTTAGGAAAATGCCAGGCTGACAGCAACCAATGTGATGTGGCCTTGAGTTACAGGAACTATTGTATTTAGACACTTAGCATTACAGAACCATAGAACATTAGACCTGGAAGAAATGAGCTGGCTATGTTTCAAAATACGCCAAGCATAGAGCAGACACTCAGAAAATATTTGGTGATGGACTCAAAGGGAAGTTTTCTAGTTTCTTTTTGAGTACCAGAAAGTCCAGTCTGTGTATTTAGTAATTTTAAAGTTGCTATAATTTTTATAAATGGTAGTTCATAGATTTTTCAGTGTAAGAATTAAAACACATTAAAAATAAAATAATTTCCTTTATGT